TGCTGGTACAGCGGTTCCATGTTGCTGGCCCAGCCGGGTCCGGCTCTGGCTTCCTCCGAACTTGATTCTGCTTCTTGAGTGTGTCCCTTATGTATGCGAGGAGTTGAAACCTGCATTCTGCTGGGCTGGGCTGCAAAAGGGCTGGTGATCCCTTTGTGCCACTGGCACAGCTTGGGTGGGGATGTAGATTGAGTAGGGCGGGGTCCCCGGGAATCACCAGGGCGGAGCAAACAGCAATGGCGTCTCCGTGACCCCTCCCCTCTCTGTGACTCAGTGACTCTTGTCCCCAAGTGCCGGCAAGCAGCTCCGCGAGACAGCCACTCTCGCTCTCCGGCCCACTGCAAGGCCGTCCTACCTCTCCCCATAGGGATCTGGGACCTCAGGATCCCGCCCCAAACACACTCAGTGGATTCGAGAGTCTGCATCCCCTTCCGATTGAAAAAAAACGTGCATCCAGCCGTACCTCCGTTCTTGGAGCCTCTGCACAACCTACTCAGTCTCAATGCTCTTCTTTCTTTCCTTCCAGTTGTAGAGCTTCCACTGGGCCAGCCTTCCCATGGTTCTGAATGATAGCTGTTTGTCTTATAGTTGGTAGTCTCGATGTTGTTGTGGGAGGCAGCACGCACAGGTCTGTATCTTATGCTGACATCTTGGTTCTCTCCTGTTTATCTCTTTTATTTTTTATTTTATTTTATTTTTTGTTAATTCTCACTAGAGGATATTTTTTCCATTGCTTTTCAAAGAGAGTGGAAGGGAGGGAGGGAGGTAGAAAGAGAGAAAGGTAGAGAGAAACATCAATGTGAGAAAGATACATTAAATGTTGCCTCCTGCTGGCGCCCCAACCAGGGGGCGAGGAGCAAACCTGCAACCCAGGTATATGCACTTGACTGTGAATCGAACTCATGACCCTTCAGTGTGCAGGCAACACTGGCCAGGGCAATCTCTTATTCTTATAAAGGCTTCTAACACTTTTTTTTTTTTTTAAGACTCTTGATTGATGTACAGAAATGGTGGTTGTGGTTCCTATCAGGTGGTATTTCTTTTTCTACCTTTGAAGCTAAAACAGGAGCTCTAATTGCTCATTTAATTTTTAATATATCTGTATATGGGTGACATAAAAATATTAGTCCCTTATTAGCTGAAAGATACAAAGAAAAATGTATGCTGTTACTTTAGTCCTGAGATACATTAACTTTTAGGGTAGGACCTTTCACAGGTTGGGGGAAAAGAACCGACCCAGTCTTGAACTTAAAAATAAATTGATGCTACATACAGAGTCAGCATTTGGTTATGGGGAAGTCGTGACAGGAGAGGAGAGGAAGATGGCAGCTATGGAGTCGAGTGGGCAGTCGCTTAGATGGAAGTGGTTAGAGCTAAAATGACCTCCTTCAAATACTGCACTGAAACACTGTGTGCTGCTTGCTGCTATTGAACTAAGAAAGAAGAGTCTGGTCAGAGCATTTCCTGAACGTTGGACACTGTCAGCCACGGCCTGGAGAGCTGCTGGGACGCAGCACTTGGACTGGAGTCCCTGCTGAGAGTGGGAGGCATGGGTTCCCTGCAGGAGCCCCAGGGGCCTTCGGCATCCCTGGTCCGATTTACATTCAGGCCCATGCTGCTGCTGGGACTCTGCCCTGTCCTCGCAGGCACCGAGCCACCAGCCTGCGGCCTTCAAATGTCACTGAGGCTTTTTAGAACCTGCTTTCCTGTAGGAACCGTGCTGCTTACGATGCACATCTCTGTTGGTTTTAAGAAATGTAAGCTGGCTTTCTGGAGGGAAGCCTTCCTGAGCAAGGACGCGTCTGAATTTGATTCTTGGTACCTGTTTAGCTGGCACTCGGCTGCTCTGGGCCCCTGGCACCAGTCCACGCTGCGCGTCACTCCCTTGGTGCGTCCCCTGCCG